GTTCCAGGTGGACTAACAATGTCGACTTCACTTGCACAACCACTGGACATTAGACGCAATGCAAGAACTCACTCCTTTTCAAAGCTCTAATAATTGCCATTTTCTTGTTAGGTTCTAACTTTTAATGTAGCTAGTCCCATTCCTTTCCATTTTCTTGCTCATCAGATTTATCCTGTGAAATGCCGATGTTACTGCTAGTCTCCTATGCGATTATCCTACATATTTAATTCTTTGAGCGAGGCATTTATTGTGCTTTAGAGCTCCCCATCAGACGCAGACGTTCAACAAATTCACAGCCTCAACATGAAGTTTCTTCACCTCTTTGGAATGGCTGCAGATCACGTGGCGTCTTCGATAGTGAGTGAGGAGGTTTGTGACTCCCTCCAGACCCAAGCCAAGGCGATGAATGATGCTATTTGCCGGCGCACAAAACTGCCAGATTTTCTTAGCTGGAGTCGTCAGTTTGATGAGAATATGAAATCTCTTCTCTACGATATCTGGAACATTAATCGACACCAGCCACAGGCCTTTATATCGCCCGGTTTAGCTGCACTTTGCAGCGACTCCAATCAGCCACCTCTGAAGCTCCTTCATCTACTCTCCGGGCCTACTTCCGACGAAGCCCTCGACAGCGGGTAGCATGAGTGCCGGAAGGATGTACAGATTCGCACCGCATGTACATACCGCAACCATCAGGCGCCACGACAATCACTTAGGATGCCAAAACTCACCACTGCAAGTGAGGAATGGAATAAGTAAACAAAGTCGCCTTCGCTGCCATAGCAGCCGCCAGTGCCTTTGAAAGACGAAAAAATTAAAGTAACATTACAGTGCCTTGTTGTTTGTGTAATTATTTTGCTCAAGTGCTCGCTAACTGAGTAAGGCTGAACTGGCAGGGCCTTCACCTCTTTCTTAGTCCCTCTTTTTTCTTAAATAAACAAATCTGCTTCGCGCGACCACCATCGCACCCCAACTCGTGCCTTTCAATGTTGAAGAGGAAACGGATATGTAGACGGATGCACAAGAAGGCACAAGTCGTGAGCACCAAAGTACCCAACTTTATTATTTTTACTTATAAAGCTTCCTCTTGCCAATGTAAACCCCCTAATCCTCTTCCTCCACCCTGTTTCACTCCACTTCGCCCCGCCAGCCTTCTTCCCATGTTTAGACCCTTAACGAAGCAGTTGCCCTGTATGGAGAAGTGTGGTGAATACAAACACATCGGCAGCTTTATTCTAATGCAAAGCGTGCCTTTTTCGGTCTTTCCTTTCTACCTTACTAGTCGTTTGTGCTTTTGCCCGTTCCAGGTGCGTGGGTAACTCGGGCCTGCCAAGCGTTAACCAACGGCGGTGTCAAATGCACTCTGATAGGCGTTCCTCAATTGCTGACCAAGCCTAGCGCATGAAACTCGAGCTTTTTTCCCAATTACTTTAAATTTTCTTTGAAGTTGAGGTTACAGAGCCTTTTCCCAGATTGTATAGTGCTTGTTGAGGATCATAGTAGCAGGAGGCGCCGTCCAAGTGCCGTCAAAAAAACTTAACCTTAATGAAAATCACAAAAGAATGTCTCATTGGCCTCTAGAAGATCTTTTTTGAATTCCCAATTCACCGGATGATGTCTTATGTTTTATGTATCGACAAGTCGTGACCAGATTCTAGCCTTGTTTGGGGTGGGTGGTGATGAAATTATCTTTACGTATTAATTAAGCAGGTAGTGTCGTAGAGCTAATAAACAATAAA